GAGGCTGGATTTGAACTCAGGTCGTCTCGACTCCAGTCCCAGCCCTCTATCCACCTAACTGCCTCTAGATTGGTGAAGTACATAGTCTCTGGGTTTGGATCGGCTCTCTGATGATACATTTGATAATAAGTTTCTCTGAGAGCTTTAAGTAGTTGCATGTGGTCAGCTGTTAATTCACTGTGAGCTCACAGAGCTAGTGTCCCAGGTAAGAAGCATACCAGGTGATCCATCTTGACCCTGAAATGCTCATGAACGAGTTTACCCAGAAAAGACAGTTTGCTAAGCTAAGATTTCCAAAGTAGGTATCTTTTGACCCTTCCTGTGGCTTTAGCATACTCACACAGCAATTCATTATCTGTCTTCCCTCCCTAGACCCATCGATTTGGCAAATATTCATAGTTAAATTGGGCTCCAAAACTCTAGGCTAGGTAGGAGTATGTTGGAGTCAGCTCAGACTTGCTCCAGAGAGCTGATTGTTACATTTTTTTTTCAGTGTGATCATTTACACCTCAGAAAATTAGCAAATACTCCAAATAGGGGTTTGATATATTAATGTTTCGTGGATTGTTTAGACAGGAAAGTGAATGGATAAAATGTTAAAAATGCAGATTAAATTTGAAAGTATATCATGGGTATATTTTTCCCCCTAGAGAGCTAGTTGTTAAACATTTGTCAGTACATCCTTGCTTCCTTCCAGTTGAGTAAAGAAACCAATGTTGGTATTGATAAACATAGAAATGAGGCCATTGTTCTTTCCTGCTGGAAAGAACATGTTCTTTTCACTTTATCTACAGCCATCTGGAATTTCATCTCTCCAGTGAGAGTAGAGAGCACTCTAGATTCCAATTGAATACTTGTTACCTCTACCACAGTGCTGTCCACCAAGGTGGGTGGGCAGCACCATTGCCAATGTTTAAATCAGAGTATGGGATCCTCAGGGTGGTTAGGTGGCTCAGTGGATAGAGTGACAGACTTGGAATCAGGAAGACCTAAATTCAAATCCAGCCTCATACACTTACTAGCTGTGTGACCCTGGGCCAGTCACTTCACTCTGTTTGCCTTAGTTTCTTCATCTGTACAATGAGCTGGAGAAGGAAATGGCAAACCATTCCAGTATCTTTGCCAAGAAAACCCTAAAAAGGGGTGACGAAGAGTTGACCGTGACTGAAAAATGACTGAACAATGGGATCCTGGTTCTAGATTGAATGGGTTCTGTCCACATCCTGGACAGACTTCTAAGTACTTACCATTTATTTGGAGATAGTTTCTTTCTAGAAAAAGACAAAAGATATTGGAATTTGGTTAACCCAGGGTGTGGATAGAACTTTCAAATAGACTTCCATCTGTAGTTTTTCCAAAATACAATTCTGCCTTCACCTATGCCTTCCTTGATTTTTTTCCAAGCCTGGTTCTTTCTGGATTTTCATTTCCGCCTTTGAAGGAAGCACTCATTGTCTTCCTTCTCTCACGGGAACATTGTCAGGCAAAAAGAAGCCAGATAAAGAGGAGCCAAGGCTGTGGTCAGCTGGTGCCTTTTGAATGCACCCCCAGTTCTGATTATTCAGCCACAACCAGTCAAACAGCTCCTGTTTGCCATGCGGTTAGCAGACTGAAACCGATGACAAAGTCTTTCCAAAGGGCTTCCATTCCACCTTATCACAGCTCTTTGGGAAGCATGCTCCCCAGCTTCTTCCATGTGGGGCATTGTATTAGCATTTCCCTGTGCATATTCATAAGGGCTGGGCTCAGGAGCTCCTGTTGCAGCTAGACACAAAAGCTTAACGGCCGCAAAACCCCCTGAGATAATGCATTTCTACCCAGTTTGGGAAGAGAGGAAATTAACATGAGATCAGCCTGGAGACTTGGGAGGAGAGAAGAAGGGTAGCTGTCCCATAGCAGTGACACAACTGGGGCAGCAGCCAGTGTCTGCCATGTCTCCCCTTCCCTTTTATAACATCATGAGAGATGACCTCTATCTAAATGGACAAGCTAGAAGGTGTGTGTGTGTGTGTGACTGTGCGTCTATTTTATCTCAGGTATCATCCTAAGAGAAACAGGCGAGGCAGGGCAGGATCTCTCCTGCCCCAACCTTATTTCCATTTGTGGTTTTTTTTTTAAATGTATTTGCTAAATTTGCCATTATTTTTCATAAACACTTGTGATTGAGCCTGTCCATAGGTTGCCCTGGGTATCATTGTTTCTGATATGAAGACATAGTAGGAGCCACACAGGAAAGAAGGATCTTTCCAAGCACAGGGCTGGGAGCTTGTCCCCCATCCTATTGTTAGAGAGTTTTGCTCTCTAACTGGGGGCATAAGGCCAAGCCATTTCAGAACAACTTTTGGAGGAGCAAAATTGTGATGAATTTGGGCCCCATTTTATGCCTACCTCATAGATGATGGTCAAGGTTGCAAAAGAAATACTAAACACAGAACACTTCTATATACCCATTTGACCCCAAGTAAAACAGGATTCATTACCTTAACTTATAACTACTGTTACAATCTTCTTGGAGGTCCATCAATAAACATTTATTAAGCACAGCCTAGGTGCCAAGTGCTGTATTAAGTATTGGGGATACAAAGAATGTCAAAAGATAGTCCCTTGCCCTCAATGAGCTCACAATCTAGAGAACATAAAAGGGTTTGTGGAACTGCTAATTTGTCAGTTTACATTTCACCTCAGATCAGTACTGAGTTGTTTCGGCAATTCCCCTTACATATCTGCTAGTAAAAGAGCTAGGCTTGGGCCAATCCTCTGACCTGTGGCCATCTTCCCTAAGAGCCCTGGAGCACTTTCCAGGGCCTCCTTCCCCATCTCTATTCAGCTCTAATCCAGCATGCCAGCCTCCTGAGCATTCAAGGTTGCCTCTACTCTAAGACATGTCCATCCTGGAATAGGTACTTACTGCCCCCAAATCGGAAAGAGCAAACACAGAAGAAGCAAGCCGGGTGTTGGATTGCCTAGGCAGGAAATCTACTTTAGCTGACGTGCATGGTGACTGGGGTTAGGGAATGAAGCCAGCAACTTCTCTCTCACCCATTTCTTGAGAAATAGCTCAGAACAGTACTGCCATACTTATAGTTGGAAAGGAAGAGAGAGCTGAGGGGGCAGGCTTCCTTCCATACATTCTGAGTCATCAACTTCCACCTCCATGGCCAATAGTGAGAATCTTCATCATCTCACAGTGCAAGTCTCTGAATCGCACACAGCTGGAAGTAGCCCTTCTGCCACCCCCAGGGCTTCCATATGGTTGTCTAGATCTCAACTCTAAGCATGTTCCATGAAGGTGGCCCTCAGTACATGGATAGAATAATAATCCTTGCCCCACTTACCTCACAGCATTAGTGGGGAAAAAGCACTTTGCAAACCATTCGTTTCAACATGCACTTATTAAAGGGAGTCAATATGGTATAGGGAAAAGGGACCTAGATATTAAGTCATAGGTTCATTGTTGTTGAGTCCTTTCAGTCATGGCCAACTCTCCATGACCCCATTTGGAGTTTTCTTGGCAAAGATACTGGAGTGGTTTGCCATTTCCCTCTCTAACTCATTTTACAGATGACAAAACTGAGGCGAACAGGGTACAGTGACTTGCCCAAGGTCACACAGCTAGTAAGTGTCTGAGGCCAGATTTGAACTCAGGAAGATGAGTCTTCCTAACTCCAGGCCTGGCATTCTATCCACTGTACCACCTAGCTGTCCCAAAATGCCTAAAGTTTATCAGTTTTGTTTTTTGTTGTTTAGTCATTTCAGTCCTGTCTGACTCTCTGTGACCCTATTTGGGGTTTTCTTGGCAGATACACTGGACTGGTTTGCCATTTCCTTCTCCAGCTCATTTTACAGATGAGGAAACTGAGGCAAACAGGGTGAAGTGACTTGCCCAAGGTCACACAGCTAGTATGTTTCTGAGGCCAGATTTGAACTCAGGTCTTCTTGACTCCAGGTCCAGCACTCTGTCCAAGCTTTAAATCCCAGCTTTACTATTTATTTACCTCTATGACCTTGAGCAACTCACATCACTTCTCTGGGTCTCAGTTTCATCGTCTATAAAATGAGCAGGTTGGACTAGATATCCTCTAGTGTTTCTTCTAGCTCCTATATATAACCTTGGGAAAGTCACCTCATCACCTCGGACCTCAGTTTCCTTCTCTGTAAAATGAGAGTTTGGACTAGATGGTCTATGTGGTCCCTTCCTGCTCTAGATACATGCTCCCATAACTAGAAGACCTCCCAGTTTGTTTGTTTCAGTTTTCTCAGCTTTAGAACTATGGTCCCATGACTACATGGCCTGTACCATTTCTTCTAGCTCTAAATCCTATGGATTCAGTGGATTATTTCCCCTTTTCACCAATTTCACGACAGAAAACAAATATTTTTAAAGTGCTTACTATGTGCAAGGGACTAACATGGGAAAAAAGGAACTAACATTCCTCCCCTCAAGGATCTTACAGTCTCCTAAAATAGCCTTCCCAGCTTTCCCTCCAACAATATCCCACTGGGACAGCAACCATTGAGTTGTCAACTCCCTGAGGCAGGGAAATTTCAGGTTGTAATGGGAATTCTCCACGACCACATGTAGGTAAAACACTTGAATGAGCAATGGATAGATGCTGTGGACATTTTTGAGAAGAGAATAAATAATTCCCTCTCGTTGGGTGATTTCAACATTCACTGGTCATGCATAGGGCTGAACGACATAATCTGATTCTTTTCCTGTTCTGAGATTATTGGCTTCTTAGTTCCTGGTGTCAGTTGAATGACAGGGGATGCTAATGGGCATTAATAAGCATTTTCTAAAAGCAAAATGACTCCTTTTAAAAGAGTGTGATTCTTGGGGCAGCTAGGTGGCGTAGTGGATAGAGCTCCAGCCTTGGCGTCAGGAGAACCTGAGTTCAAATCTGACCTTAGACACTTGACACTTACTAGCTGTGTGACCCTGGGCAAGTCACTTAACCCCAGATTGCCTCATAAAAAAAAAAGAGTATGATTCTAGGAAACTCGTCAACAGCAATATTTTGTTGACTGTGGCAGAAGATATATTTGGTCCCAATGGAAAGGCCCAAATTCCTCCCAGACGGTGGTGTTGTAGGGGACTTTCCAGAGCTGGATACATAGGCAGCAGTTCCAAAGTTCATGCTGGATCAAGCAGTGAGAAAGCTTTTTCAGGACAGGTTTGACTATAATCTATGTAAAAGACAAAGAAATTAGTCATGTTTCTGAGCTCAGCACTGCTGATTGGATTTCTAAGAACCATCCTGATAAAAATAGACCAGTTCAGTTTAACTCATTTAGAAAGCAATATGGAATCATGCTTTGAAAATGACTGAGGTTCATACTCTCTGACCAGAGACCCTACATATACCCCAAGGAGATCAAAAACAGAAAGAATGGTTCCATATTCACCAAAACGTTCCTCGTAACACTTTTTGTGTTAGCAGAGAACTGGAAACCCATAGATGCCCATGCATCTGAGAAAATTGTGGCATGCGAATGTCACAGAATATAATTGCACAATAAAAAAATAGCAAATGTAAAAAATTCCAAGACATATGGGAAGACATATAAACCAGTGAGAAGTGAAATAAGTATGAAGGAATATACACAATACTTACGATAATAGAAATGCAAAGAACACAAAAACTGAGATTAAATGCCGTGTAATTATTATGACCAAGTTTGACTCCAGAAAAGAGTTTAGAAAATGGAACTTTGGAGGCAGCTAGAATGTGCAATGATTTGAGCTCCAGACTTGGAGTTAGGAGGACCTGAGTTCAAATCCAGCCTCAGACACATAACACTCACTAGCTGTGTGACCCTGGGCAAAGTCACTTAACCCTGATTGCCTCACCAAAAAGTCAAAAAAAAAAAAGAAGAAAATGGAACTCTTGTCCTTCTTTCAAAGGTGGGGAACTCTAGTTGTGGACTATTGTACATGTTGGCAGACATGGTTGATGTATTAGTTGCTTTCATTGAAGTGATTTTTTTTTCTCTTCATTGTTACAAGAGATTGTTTGCTGGGGTAGGGAAGGGGAAATGAAGATTATATAGATAGCAAAATTAAGGTTTTCTAAAAATAGATCACTTCAGGAAATTTGGATGAAACCAGGAAAGTTTGCCTGCTCATTTTTGATGGACTTCTGGAGATTATATCTCTTGAGTAGCCAAGAAAAAGACAAGAATATTGAACTGGAGAAAAAGAAGACTGTTGCTTCACACAACATCCCTACTGATAACTCTCCAGGAAATTACTTTGAGGAAACTTTAGCTCTTGTTAAAACATTCCATCTGGGCAAAATCCTATGATTTTCAGAAGTTGACAAGAAGGAGTCATTCTTTAAGTAATATGGAGGTGTAGATATAGCAATGGAAGTTTTCAATATTGTTGGATGCACAGTGAATTCATCAGCTTGGACTTTGAAAATGAATGCACAGAAGATGGAATTGTAACGATGGCTATTCTGTGGCACATGCTTAGGGCTATACCTTGGCCATTTCCAGGATATGTTCTGGTGGGGGCTGCTTCCCATGGAGTGATATGCCTGTACCTTGTCCATGTGGGTCTCCAGTGTGATTCCACATCTGGAACTGCTCAGTGCCTGAGGGTTCAGACAAACAATTCCTTTAATAAAAACACATCCAATGCCCCTTGGTAAAAGCAATACTCAAAGTGGTTAAAAAAAAAAAAAGCAGTCCCAGAAAGTAAAATCAGGTAAAAGCCACCAATGAGGAGATGAAAAGCACTCACAGGGAGTTCCCTGGGGTCTTAGGATCTCTCCAATACATCCTACAGTTATTTTTATAGCTTCCTTGCCCAAAGGACCCCCAGCTGGGTCCCACATAAATCCACCTGGAGGCAAAGTGAACTCAAACTGCCATAGGGCTGCTGCACAGTCTTGAGTTACACTAGTTTTGGATAGTGCTGTGGGAGTATGGGCTTAATCAAACCTCCCTGGTTCCACTAGTGGCCTGGCCCGTCATATACTTCCTGAGAGACATATGCTTTGGCATAAAAAGTCATGCACAGCCAGAGGCTTCTAGTTTGTCCCCATGTATGGTCCCCCACCCCCACCCCATGGTGTTCCATCAAGAAAGATTCACCACTAAATAGCAACAGTCCTTAAAGGGAAAGACAATTTCTACTCACTCTCCTCTTCTGAATGCATGGCTTTCGACTCTCAAAGTTCTCCCTTGGAATTCTTGTGGAAGGGAGGTAGAGGACTGCCTACATGTGGCAGAAAACACGCGTGCTAACCTAGAAGAGCCTGAAATTGGACATCAAGTCTCTACTTGCCTCTTCTGCATTATATTTCTCTTCCTGAACTCAGGTGATCAAACAGGGATCACGAGATAGGTATTTCTAGCATTGGTGGCAGCATTGTGAGGTGCTGGTTACTCATTTGGAGGTGCTTCCTGTAGCTACTGCAGTGAATTTTGGAAGAGAGGATGAGCCACCAAGTCTTGGCTCCCTGGAAGATGTGGGCCTTGAGAAAGTTGTGCAGAAAGAGAAGAGTCAAGGTGAAATTGATATGCTTATTCAACAAGGTGTTTCACATTTTAATGTTTTGACCCTTAACCTCCTGGGAAAGTAGAATGAGGACAGATTATTCTATCATGTTTCAAGTATTTGTCAAGGTATATTTATAACTTTTTGAGGTTTTAAGCATTTTTTTGTGACAGAAGAAATCAATAGTCATCCTAAATCTGATCTAGTCAGGTAGTAGGTCAACAAGCATTTATTCAGTGCTTACTATGCTCCAGGTGCCATGCTAAGTGCTGCGGATGCAAGGAAAAGTCCAAAAACATGGTCCCTGACCTCAAGGAGCTCATGTTTTAAAGGGGTGACAATAGGCAAATAAACTGTTGGTGAGTTGTTTTCAGTTGCATCCTACTCTCGGTGACATCATTTGAGGTTTTCTTGGCAAAGATACTGGAGTGCTTTGACTTTTCCTGCTCATTTTACAGATGAGGAAACTGAGGCCAACAGGATGAAGTGACTTGTCACCCAGCTAGGAAGTGTCTGAGGCCAGATTTGAACTCATGGAGAAGAGTCTTCCTGACTCCATGCTCAGCACTGCAGTGCCACCTAGCCACCCAAAATAGCTGTCCCTGGAAGGAGGGAAAGCACTAGCCATAGGAGTGCAGGTAGAGAAAAGGTGACATACATATGGGTGTATAGATAGATAGATAGATAGATAGATAGATAGATAGATAGATATAGATATAGATACAGATATATACAGATAGATATAGATATATAGTATATAGTATATAGTATAGTATATAGGTGGAGAAAGGCCTTCCACAGTAGGTGGAATTTGAGCTTAGTCTTGAGGGAAGTCAGGAGGCAGAGGTAGGGAGGGAAAGCATTCAAGGTATAGGTGATAGGGACTGAGGACAGACACAATTCTAAGATGGAGTGATGATTCTAAGATGTGTAAGATTCAGTAAGAAAGTCAGTGTTGCTATATTATAGAATATATAGAGGGGAGCAAAGTATAAGAAAATTGGAAAGGTAGGAAGGTGCTAGGTAGGAAGGAGCTTTAAATGCCAAATGACATTTAACATTTGATCTTAGAGGTAATAGGGAGTCACTGGAGGTGATTGAGTAAGGGAGTTGTCTAGTAAGTTGCACTATCAGAAAATCACTTTAGCAGCTGAGTGGAGGACTGAATACAGCGGGGAGAGACTTGAGGCTGAGGGACCAATCAGGAGTCAATTGCAACAGTCTAGCTAGGTGGTGCTGCAGTGGATAGAGCCCCAGGCCTGGAGTCAGGAAGACCTGAGTTCCAATCTGGCCTCAGACGCTTACTAGCTGTGTGATCCTGGGCAAGTCACTTCACCTCTGTTTGCCTCATTTTCCTCATCTGTAAAATGAACTGGAGAAGAAATGGCAAGCCACTCTAGTATCTTTGCCAAGAAAACCCCACATGGGTTCATGAAGACCATGACTGAACAACAACACCAGGAGAGAAGTGATAAGGACCTGAACTAGGGTGGTGATTGTGTGAATAGTTGTTTGGCTGTTGTCCTTGGTTCTTGAAGAGGACCAAAATGACATCACTATGCTAGGGTCAAGTTACAGTGTGTCCGACTCTGGTGCTACCACAGGTCGGGCACAAATAGTTCATGTGAACATTCGGGGTGGATTTTCTAAATTTGTGCGTCTCACGTTTCTTTTGAGCTACTTCAATTCTGCTTTGCTCATAAAGCACAGCACCTTATCCGATGTGGACACACCATGCTGGGTGATCCTGTGCCAGTGTCTCTCATGTCATTCAATCAATTCCAAAGTTCTTAAGAAAGACCTTGAGAGTATCCTTGTATTGGTTTTGTGAATGGAAAGATATTGTGAAGGTAGAAACAACAAGACTTGGCAATGGATCACATGTGTGAAGTGAGTGGGAGAGTGAAGTTGAAGAAGATTCTGGGTGACTGGGAGGATGCTGGTGCCCTCAGTAGTTAGAGAGAAGTTTGAGATATGGGCAGGTTTGGGGGACAATTCACTAAGTTCTGTTTTGGACATGCCAAGTTTGAGCTACCCACAGGATATCCAGTTTGAGATGTCCAAAAGGTGATTGGTGATGCCAGAATGGCACTCAGGAGAGAGATAAAGGTTAAAAAGAGAGATTTAGGAATCATCTGCATAGAGATGATAGTTGAACCCAAGGGAGCTAATGAGATCACCAGGATAGTATTGACAGAGAAAAGAAAAGGGCTGGTCCACACAAGGGCCTTGGGAGACACCATGAATCACTGGATGTGACCTGGATGAAGAATCAGCAAAGGGACTGCAAAGGAGTAGTCAGACAGGTAGAAGGAAAACTAGGGGAGAAGAGAATATATAGGAGAGTGATCGATAGTGTCAAAGGCTTTAGAGAGGTCAAGAAGGATGAGGATTGAGAAAGTGCCATTGGATTTAGTGATTAAGAGATCATTGGCAATTTTGGAGAGCGTTTTTGTTTGAATGATGAGGTCAGGTGCCAGATTGCAGTGATATGAAAAGAAGGAGATACACAGTTATTCCTTCCACATCACGACTTTCTCCATCATGGATTCGATATGTTGCAGGCAGGTTGGCATAAGAAATTATGTGGAAATTTTGGAGGAGTTTTGCAGAGGCTGAAGATGACAACACATAAAAGGTTTAGAAACTCAGAAATGCATAAAATATATGTATAGTATTGTATGATACCAACATATTTTATCTTTTAATACCATAATAATTCAGTCTTCTTCTCTGGTACAAAGGGAGGGCTAAAACATCTTCTGCAGATTTTCCCAATCAAGGGAACATTGTGCCCCTACCCCCCATGATGTGGAAGTGATAACTGTATAGAGAGAGCTTCTCAAGCAATTTGGCTTTGAAAGGGAAGAGAGATCCAGGGTGAGAGCTAACAGGGATGGTATGCCCAGCTAAGGGGTTTTTGAGGATGGGAGGAGGCATGACCATGTTTATTACCTACAAAACAAGGAAGAAGTCAGTTGCTAGGGGGAGGTTAAAGTTTAGTGAGATAGGCATGATAGAAGGGGTCAATCTGATGGAGAAAATGGCATGAGATGGAATCAAGTTTGCATGGAGAGGGTTTTGCCTTGGCAAAGAGAAGGGCTACCTCTTCGTGGGATATAGGTGTGAAGAAGGAGATAGTGAGTGATGAGAGATGAGCAGGAAGGGAGAAAGAGGACCTCTCAGAGAATGGCCTGGGTTTCTTTTTGGCCATCTATGGGCCAAGTTTCTCGGCTGAGAGGATGGCAAGGAGGGAGGACTGTGGGAAGTTTGAAGAGGGATGACAAGGTTAGGAATGTCCACTGTAGCAAGTGGGAGAGTTAACCAATTAGGCTGATATGAAAGGGTAGTCTTGCTACAGTGAGGGCTTAATTGAGATCGTGTAGCATAAATTTGTGGTAGATCTGGGTCATGCTTTTGTGACTTTCTCTAGATTGGCTCAGCAGTGTATGAATAGGAGCTAAGTCATTAGTGATAGGAAGAATCTAAGGTTGGAACTTGGCAAAGTATAATCATGAGAAAATAAAGAGGTAAGGGATTCAAGTGTAGACAACAGTACAGACCAGTATATTGATCTATTTTGCAAATACATTAAGTAAGTACCTTTCTAGAAAGGACTGTAGAGAACCTTTTTTGGGGAGATGCTCAAGATGAGCCAGAACCTAAGCTTTGTTTAAGAAATTATCCTCAGAGGTCTACCTAAGCTTTAAGAAATTATCCCCAGAGTTCTACCTAAGCTTTAAGAAATTATCCCCAGAGTTCTACCTAAGCTTTAAGAAATTATCCCCAGAGTTCTACTCCGTGCTGTGATATAGTCAGTCCAAGACAATGAGAAAAAAAACCTGATCCTTTCCCTTTATAGGCCATCATTCCCCAGGGCATGAATCTGATCTGCATGAACCCAGAATCCCTCAGTGGGAGAGGGTGACCCCTAAACACCCACCCCAAGCCATGGGTCTGTTATAGAATCAAAAACAGAAGACAGAAGATGATAACAAAGGAGTGTCGAACTCTTTCTAATGGTAGAATATATTCTTCTAGCAGTGTGGGGGCAGGAAGTGAAGGTGTTGGTGAATGGGAAAATTAGTTCCTCCCCTTTTACTATACCCCACCTTCATGTGAGCAAGACTCTATGTTCCTAATCCTTTCCATACATGACTTTCTAGTCAAAGCCCTCAACTCTGTCCCTGGGGAGAGGGGAAACCAGGTTCTTTAGCCTACACTGAAAGATAAAGGATGAAAGCTACCTGGAACAACCAGAATCAGCAAAGCCAACCCCAGCTCTTCCCTCAGAGGAACTGCTATTAGGCTCAGTTGTGCCTAGGGTCTTTTTTTTTGGTCAAAATTTACTTAATCTTTCTCTCTGTATGAGAAGTTATAAAATATGAATCAATAAAATCTTTTTTTTCCAATCTAGCCCTGAGACTTCATGCTGTGAATGTTCCCAACAGTTATGAAAATCTATCCATCTCTCTCCTGGGGTACCTTACCTGACAAGGTCACAGAAAAATTAATACAGTAATAATGACCACAGTCTGAGAGAAACCAATTTCTTTTAAAGTAAATGGCAAAGCAGAAAGCAAAGAGATTCTTAATGAACAAGGATTGATAGAGCAGATTTATCTGTCCTTAGAGAATATCTGAGTGGGGGAAGAGGCAGAGGATGAGATTGTATAATTCACCAGGCTCTGTTTCCATGGCCACTGCAATCACTCAGCCTGGCTCACAC